AGACTGCAATTTAATAATAAAAAAAAAATTGAATCTGGAGTGAAATCAATTGGTGTAAATCAGTCCTTAACAATCCCGCTGTAATCATCTCTTGAGAAGAAGAAGAAGAAGAAGAAGAAAAAAAAAAGAATTGGAAATCTAACGCTGATCCGAGAGCGCGAAGCTACAAACCGAGAAACGGTTACGCGATCTTCGTCCTTGCCGTCGTGGACGCCCTTGGGTTCCATGGCCAATCCGGTGCTGGAGAAGAAATGAAGTATCACGGGATCAAGTGTCATCCCGCGATACAGGGACCGACGAAAATGGATAGGCGAATTTTTCCCGATTGGACCGCCGCAGATCCACGACTCGTTTTACATTAGTCCTGCTTGCCTTGCCCCGGGGTAACGGAAACGGCGCCGTGCATGCAACGCTAGGTTAGGAAAAATCTGGGAGCCTAACCGGGAGCGGTTACGTGATCCACGGACGATCTATAACGAACGATCTGGCGTATAAAAGCCGATCTAGGGCACAGCCGTCGCATAGTCTCGAGCCGCGTAGTGACGAATTCGCCCCCCGAGCGAGAACCACGGTCGGTCCCGTCCGTCGATTCGTCGGCCGGAAGCTTGCAACTGCGAAGCTCGTTTCTGAAAAAAAAAAAAAAAGGAAAAAAAGAAAAACAGAGAGAGGAAAATAAAAACATGGGTTCGCTGATCACTTTGATACTATTGGGCCTGGTTTCGTCGACTCTGGCCAGACCAGGATTCCTCCATGGACCTCTGATAGCCACTTTGACGTCTGCCGCTGCTGTTGGGCCCGACGGTCGGGTGCTGGACACGCCAGAAGTCGCGGTGGCCAAAGCGGAACACGCGGCTGCTCATTTTAATGAGAGACTGAAACTAGCGGACGAAGCTGCCAGGTCGAACGCTGCTAATTTGCAAGCTATCGTCAACCAGAATTCTATCCTCGTGCCCAGTTTGCAGTTGCTACCTGGCGCACCTATTGGGCCTGATGGGAGAGTTGTAGATACGCAGGAAGTTGCTGTCGCCAAGGCGGCTCATGCTGCTGCGCAGGTCAATGAGAGGATCAATTTGGCTAATGAGGCTGCCAGATCCGTCGCTGCGGACCTCAATGGGTGATTATTTAATTTTTGTTACATACAGC